CCAGCTCCTTCGAAATCAATAAATTTTTCAAATGCGTCAATCATATTCGTCAAGTCAACTGAGTTTTTTTGCCCCTTCATAAATTCTTTTGTCTACAAAAGAGGGGGGAAAAATTAGGAATTATAATGTAGTAAGCTTAAAAAACTTACAAGTTAAATATTTTATCTCACCCACTTCTTTATTAATCTCTTCATGGCTCCTCTCTCGCTCATTAAGTAATTCTTCCAGTTGCTTAGGATCGATATTCATCCATGAATCATCATCTTCAATCGTAATTGAAGTTAACACATCATCAGGAATCATAGGGTTCCTTAACAGCTGATTAATTTGTTCAAACGGAGTTATCTTATATTTAGATTCATCGTCTCTAAAATTATAATTTTTAATTAAATTATAAGTAAGGTCATGTTATTTTCAATATAATAACTTACAAAGTTTCTATATATTGTTGTTTGGCAATCTGATCGAGCTGCTTATATCTTTTTGATCCTTCAACTTCTCCACGATAATAATTTCTTTTCACAAGCTTATCACGAAACAATTTCCAATCCGGATCCTCATTAAATGGATAAGTCTAATATGAAAGAGATAACAAAAACTATCTTAAAATGGTTTAAATGATATACAAAGAAATATTATTTTTAAATATTAACCTCAACGATCATATCGGAAGAACTTGTCGCCAACTTTGTATAATATTTATCTGTACATAAAATTTCAAATCCACATGCCTAACAATAAGATATTAATTTAAACAATTCATTGAATTAAGGTAATAATATTATAACTTACTACTTTCATCCCTAATTCGGAAGCTTTGAATTTTTCAGAAGTACCATCAGGCAATCTAAAAGGTTTTGGTGGATAAAACCGTTGACTTAACATTTGAGCATATAAGGTTTTTGTAAATTTCACAGTGACAGTTATTGATGTAGATGGAGGAAAATTTTCCATCCTTTGGCATGCTTTTAACGCAATAGGATCTCGAGTGTAAAATGCCTCTACGGCCGAAGCTAAAAGTTGAGGATTCTGATGCAACACGTGAGCTATTTTTCTTGGAATATGACATCTTGCATGATGAATATTTTGTAGAATCTTTTGAGGAAACTCGTCCGACTTTCCAAACGCAACCCGTTGAACAATAATCTCGGCTTTTGTGTTGATATTATCATTTCGTATCATTTCCACTGCCTTATTGATTGACAATTTTCCGGTAGGAATGTTCAACATTTCAGCAGGAGTTCGTGGCAATGGAATGATGTGTAGTTCATTCTGATATATAAATATCTAATAATAAAAAAAAAAAGAATTAATATATCGTATATTAATTATATAAATATTTCTTATCTTACCCTATTTTGACTATTACTGGGATCCAGCCAAGATGGAAGTTGTTTGGCGGCTTCAATCAACAAGAATTCTCCATCATAATCAGAGACACTGCCAAATTTATCCGATTATCAGTCAATGAATAAGTTTGAAAATAATATTTCATATTTATTTAAATACCTAATAACCGCATCCTTAAATTTTAATGATATTTGGCGTAACAAAAATACGATAAACCATTCATCATCGATGCAATCCCCAAACCTAGCTTTTCCATGCAAGAAAGGATAACCAGGTTCTATTTAAAAATAAAAATTTATAAATAGAAAACGTACAAGCGAAAAATAAAAAAGAAAAAATTTGGGTAACTACCCGATTCATTTTTTATGAGCTTTAGTTGGAATGAATCCTTTTGCCAGATATATCCTTTTAAATATTGGCTTAATTCTGAAAGAATGAGCGCACTGGTTTCTTGAAGAAAAGATTCATGATTAGAAGTTGAAGGAAAAGGAAAATAAATCGAATAATAAACTTGATCTTCAGAGGGAGGTAAATTATGGAAAAGGGTTTCCATATCTTATTCTTTATTTTAAAAAATAAATTCAGATATAATATGTAAAGCGTGTCAAATACGTAATTCGTAATCCACTACGCCACATGAGATTTCAAAATTTTATTTTTATTTTTTTTATTTGAATTTTTTTTTTTAAATTTTGTATATACAATATAAATAAACGTCACTTAATCCTAAATAAATGCTAAAGTATACTATTCCGCATGACATTATTACGAGAACAGAAGACTATTATTTAAATAGCTTAAAACAAAGATGCCAATAATGAAAAATATCACGAACAATAGTAAAATGCAAAATAAAGTGGCTTCATATTGTATACCTAGATTATCCAACATATTAAATCTAAGTTGATAAAAAAAATTATTCCCGCCATTGAAATTATAATCCGATGTCGTGTATAATGGAGTATAGTAATTTTGTTGATTTACGTAGAAGTAATCAGAAGGCCTATATATATGAAAAATTGTTGATAATATGAGAATATTTTCTTTTACAATGGTTTTTTTTAAAAAAAAATTCATAATAAAATTATACTTAACTCTGTTGTTCTACATCATCTTGACGTATTCCGGTATATAGAACATCCGACTTATTAAACGCTTTTATATCGTTTATCCTCTTCTTGTACAAATAATATGATAAGCCCGCAAAGGAAGCCAAGATAAGTGTGACGTAGGCATAATACCCCATGAAGATTTCATGCGATGCATTGTATTGTTGGAATCCCAACGGAATTTGTATAAACGCCAAGAGTGTTAATATACGTCCCCACCACCTAAAAAAAAATTTATGATTAAATTTATTGTTGATCTTTTGAAGGAAAGATAAAAACAATTTTATGAAATTACCAGTGAAGTTTGGTCCACCATGGGTAATATTTTCTGGCCGAATCATAGAGTTTATGATGAATCCACCCAAGAGAAATTTGAAAGATGAAGCCAAAAAATACGGCGAGTCCAAGAAGATGATGTGAATTGGAAGCATTGAATCTCACACCTGCGGTTATTGCCAATATTATTCCAATCAAAATCAAAGGAGATGCCACAAATTGTTGAATTCCCCAGTGAAGTCGGAACCACTTTTGTGGAATTATGTTTCTTGTGAACCTTGCTATAAAAATAGCTCCAGGCACCACGATACCCCACACAAAGAACATGGTTGCTCCGTGAGCGATAATGTACTTTTCGTAATTGCTTATGATGGTCTCGCCACTTGATTTAAAGATATAACTTCCTTTAGCGTTATGTATAGTGATTTCATAAGTTTGAGGATCATCCGGAGGTCGGTCGTCGGTTTGAACAGCCCAAATGATTGATTGTTCGGCTACTTCGATTTTTGATCCAGTGACAGAAATCGGTCGAGTGAACTTTGCAATGAACTTTCCATCTTTTAAACCACTTGCAGCAGCATCTAAACTAAGGTCATTTTGTTGTTCGGTGGGGTATGGTACACCATATTCTTCCGCTTTACGTTGTGAAATTATTGCTGATCCATTCGATGAAGGCCAGGCCATCTAAAGAAATAATAATGTCATTCACAAATCCGCAGGAAATTAATTTACTCAAAAAAAAAAAATTAAAATTAAAATATAACCCACCACTATGTAACTTCCAACCATTGAATTGCCTAAACCGATCGCGACCCATCTTTAAAAAAAAAAATAAACCATTAATTTAAAAAATTAAATCGGTTGATAATGGTACATAAAGTCAAAAATAGTTTATTACCCCATTGTCGTTGGAGCTTCTAGTTCAAAGGATAACAAATTTCCGGTTGGTGTTATTTTAATACAAAATCCATGGTTTACACATTTTTCGGAACTTCCATGAACTCCGACTAAATTTTAAAATACATCTGAATGAATTTACTCATTTCGCATGAAAATTCTGCTTCAACAATAATCTTTTTACCTTGTATAAATATCAAAGCAATTAGTAATAATAAAATAAGTATTCGTTTCTTCATCTTTATGTTAAATTTTTTATGTATGAAAACAATCAGATAATCAAGAGAACTTCTTGGGAAGATTCTCGATACTTAAAATAAGAAAAGGCAACTAAAATTATTTCGATTTTTTGGAAAAATAACGAAAGATATACGTTATGGTAAAATCCTTATAAAAAAGGTGAAAAAATAAAGTTTAAAAAAACGAGGCTGTGTTGGGCTTATATACAACAAATAATCATAATCTCATAGTAGTTATAAACCAGTAGGAATCTATCCAAATAAAGAAACATCATAGAAACAAAATTTGAAAATGAAATTAACATTTCGGGTTATCCCATTTTTCTCACTAAGTTTTCTATTTATGGTATTACCATATTCAAACTTTTTTTATATTTCTTGGAGGGTATAAATATCCGTTGAGATTGATGCTCATTCACGTTTCGGAATTTGCCTCAAAGACCTTTGTTGGTTTCTTTCCCTCTCTCTCTTTTCTTTTCCCTCTTTTTTTTTTAAAAAAAAAGCAAGGGGGTTTTGTAAACATTTGATACATTGGTTGGTTACACAAGGATTATGGTACATACAATAATATGCAAGGTTAAATATATTAATTCAGAGAATTCAAAAAGGACAAATTGAACACATATTCATAATTCATTAATTGAGGCTTTGACGCTATACGTGGCAAAGCACTTGATGAAACAAGAAAGAGCGAATTCCCACACTGCCACGAACAAATAATATAAGCCTTCTTATCGTTGCACTTTCTTTTTTATTTATTTGTAACTGTTAGTTCAACTTCAGTAATTTCATTGTTCTATTTATGCTTTTCTTGACATCAAATGAATTAATAAAAAAAGGATTTGATAGATCTTTTAATCTAATCCGTCGATCACCATTGCCAGTACAACACAAAACAAATTTGGGTAATGACAATTTTATACTCTGTATTTTTACTAGGTTCAGTAAACGTGTTGCAATTATTATCACGTGATAATAATGAAAAGCTTAAATTTGTGTAACTTCAAAAAATTTTCTAAAATTTTTTTTTTCCCCGTGCTCAAGTGTCTCATTGGATAACTATATATTAAAAAAAGATTTTGGTATAATCAGAATTTTTTTATTTGATCGTATAATACAACCATAAATCATGACTTCAAATCCTTTAGATAGATTGGCAGCTTATTTCAAGCCATGTACAAGACCATTTGTACAAGAAGATTATAATAACTTGGAGGATACTTTTGCTGAATTACAAAAGCGAAAACTTAATCCTTTAGATAATTTGAGTGCGTTTTTCAAGCCACTCACAAAGAAATTTGATGAATCCGACTATTATAACGACGAACGTAAGCCAAAAAGAAGTAAATCAATAGATCCAATTTAATATTAAATGTAAACCTTTATTTAATAATGTTTTGATTTGTAGTTTTGGCTTCCCATAACCCTTTTTCTGATAAATTATTTGAAATTAGCAACGCTGATAGACCGGAAAAAAGAAAATCCCTGATCCCAATAAATTCCTCTACGAAAAAAATAAGATTCAATTCTTTTGACGATGAGGATAATCGTTTGCCTTCATTATCAACTAAAACTACATCAAGTGATACCTCATCAAGTGAAAGCAGTGACGATGATGAAGGTATAAATCTTAATTTTGTTAATATCTTATGTTTTAGATATTGATTTCATTCCAAATGTCCTTATAGAAGACAATGAATCGTTTCCATTTTCCGAGTTTTACCAAAAGATGTTGCAAAGCGATGACGACGTTGAATCAATGTTGACCGAGGTAAATACATTTATTTAATTCATTGCATACTTTGATTATTAATAAATTTTAATTTAACAATATTATATTTATATTATGTCTTAGTTTGATGATAGCATTGTTGATAATTTGGAATCTCTATCTTTTATAGATAATGTATAAAAAATATATGTTTCATTATTCTGACGTTTAATTCATTGTATAAACCTTTGTTGTCCATTATAGGATAATGCTACTGAACCTTCGCGAAAGATCATGGAGTCCAGGTCAACAAAACAAGCCCTTACAGTGGATGAGGATGCGGAGAGCCAAACAACCAAGAAGGGGTGAGATAGAACTCAAATGCTTTTTTGTATTCGTTTTGATTTAATCTCATAATTTAACAGCGCATTTAGGAATGAAATTTCCCCATCAGTAATGATTCAACTCGAAAATATTAAAAATAAAGAAAAGGAGGTTGAGTTTCCACAGATTTCTGAAAAAGTCAAAGTAGAAGGAAAAGGTGATCCAAAGATCCCGAAGGTAAATTAAAATAGGGCTTGTGTGTGTACTTGAAAATAATAAAATATATTGTGAATCCATTTTTAACTTTGTTTTCTTCTGGAAAAAATGGTGCAATTTAGGCGCCCATGGCCGGTTTTACTGGCAGACGGGCACATAAATTTATTGACATGCTTGATAATCAAGCATTTAGGACGCGACATCGAAAAGTTATAATGAAGAGAGTTCGAGGACCGAATTTAAGTGGTGGATTAACTAGTTTGCTGTCGTATGGATTTAAACCAACCTCTATGCTTGGATAATAATTTAAAGTGTTAGGAAATTGAAATAGGAGATTTGTTTATTTGCATATTTTTTAAAAAGACAATAATAAGTGTTGACGCTTAAAAAAATTTTTTTTGCTTGACATGAAAAAAAGTGGTTTTCTTATTCAAAAGTATATTATTTAATATAAGTTAGCATTGGGGATAGGTTCTTTTTATGGGTAAAGAAAAAAAAATTGTAATTTTTTTTTTATTACGCGTTCTCTGAAAAAAAAAAATTGTTTCATGTGCTAAAGTTTTCAATAATAAAAATATTTATGTATTTATTTATTTGTTTTTTTTTTACTAAAGTTATCTTTTTAAAATTCTAAATATAGAAAATAAACGAATTATCTCGTATCTCGTGAAATATAAATATTACTATAGACCATGATACATACATATATCAGGGTTTAAATTGTTGGCACCACAGTAACGTGCATAAATGATTTTCTTCCCCCTTTTTTTGTGAATTTCTCCCGGTATGTGTAAAACAAAAACCTCTCATTTTTGCCTATTTTCAAAAACCAAACCACTTTTAGGAGGTAATGTAATCGTTCCAATAATTAATTTATTATCAATCTTCCCACTTTGTGTCGTAATTTTATATTTCAAAATCAATTTATGTAATACGAGTTTTGTTTCATTTACGGCAAAAAATCGACTAATAACATGAATGAATTATTAATATGAATGAATTTGAAATTCATGAAAAAAAAAATAATAATAAAATAATAATTACCCGGGACATGCATGTTTACCGCCACCAAATACAGCATATGAACGATCAATTTTTGTTGCAGCAGAATTCATATTTACAAATTGAAATGGTTTAAATTCTTCAGCGTCCTCACCATACGCTTCTTTTGACTTTAATAAATCATCCATGTACATTTTTACCGTGCGTCCTATTATTATTATTATTATTATTATTATTAAATAAAAAAGTTTAATCAATCACTTTTTAAATCATGATAAAAATAAATTGATCAACTACCTTTTGGAATCGTGTAACCATTGGAGAAAGTGTAACTTTCTGATTCAACAATATAAGGAAGGTTGACTAAAGAATGTATTAATAATATTATTATACATGATAAATTTGACCTATTTCATTCACGGAATCTTTAAATACCCTACCTATTTCATCAGTATGTCTAAGTGATTCTTTAACAAAACTATCCAACTTCTTCATTTTTAAAAGGTCAGCTAGGTAAGGTGATCCATTGCATTCTTTGTCAATTTGTAATGCTTCTTCATATAATTCATTCACGAATTGTGGTCTACCCCCCAAATCTAATCAATAATTAAGTGTATTTAATTTATTTTATTCACAAAAAAAAATAGTTTAAAATATAGTAATTACCGAATAATGCATTGGTAGTTGCTCTACTTGTTGTTCCGATTGCACCAAATGAAAGAATAAATAAGGTGTCGATATAATATTGAAATCGATTAACGAAATCCGGTTGATTTATATAATATTCAAGTAGGTCATTCTAATGTAAAAAATAATTGATATAAATAAAAGAGAAAAAAATATATACACGTATATATTTTTTTTATTGAAAATAAATTGTATTTACACAAGGTTTATAATTATCGCCCAATACTTCTTTATCGTAGAGACGACGTTCGATTATTGGTCTCACATTATCTATGACAACTTTTCGATGATATGTTATCGGATTCCATCCCAATTTTATCGGTAATCTACAATTAAAAAAAAAAAAATTTAACATCATCATATTGGAAGGTAGCAAATGCAGCGTAACAACGTACTTACGTGGTTACAAAATCGTGTAGTTTCGGATGGATGAAAGAAAGTATTGGTGGAAGTGTTACCAATATACCCAAATCAAAAGGCCAGTTTGCTAATGTATTTACTAGATCAAATGACGCCGCTTTCTATTTTGTTTGTGAAAAGTTTGAAATAAATTTTTATGAAAAAAAAAAAATAATAATAAATAACAAGTTTTTTTTTCGTTTATGAAATACCTCTCCAACCAATATATTAACAATCGCTAAAGCTATTATGTTATTAGCTCTCATCCAAGTATCATAAAAGACTTTTGGTTCTAAATATGAATTAAATTAAATCACATGATATTTAATAAATAATAAAAAAAAAAATGTAATAATGCTGCGGTATCCAATGTTTTGTTTTCACACCTTCACAGTCTCCAATCCAATTATCGATTCCTTTGGAGATATATTTTTGTATGATTGGTGCGTAATTATCAAATTTGGCGGAAATTTCTTCTCTGGTAAGTTTAGAATTAAAACGAATTACTTCTTTACTTAAACCATTGCTATAAGTAAACAACGTATGAAAAGGAATCGACTGTAATAAAAATAATTTGATTAACGTCGTTTATCAGAAGTTCAAATTTATTAACTTGGATTATTAATCCCTTAATTTACCTCGGCATTTGCACTACCAAAGTTTTTAAATACTTCATTTATAGAATTTCTTGCGGCGATCGTAATTACACGTCCGAATACATAAATCGAAAAACAGTCACCATACTAAGAAAAAGAATATTTATGATTAAATTTACAATGTATATTTTTTTTTTTAAAAGGAAATCGTTAAAAAGTTTACCTGCTCTTTACATGCTTTAAGAAAGCTTTTCGTATGAATTAAATAATTAAATGTATGTCCAAGAATTGGAATCGTGTAAGGTACAAGAGGTGGTTCATTCTATATAAAAACCAAGGTTAAAATTAATGTTTATCAAAAAACTTTTTATAAACCAGACTATCTTACTTACTATTCCTATTCGAGGTCGTCTTAAAATATACAAAATTATCAAAAAGATTACGCAAACAAAAATTGGGTGGAACAATGAACTCTCATTTAAATAGCTCATCATTTTACAATTAGCGAAAAATATTTGTATGTTCGATTTTTTTTATTTTTTAAAAAAAAAAAAAACTCTTTTTATTTTATGATATCCGATTCTTGGGAAAAAAAACCGTCTTTTATAATTATTTATGAATATTCGATTCTCGGACTAATCACCCGTTAAGGTTTCATTATCATTGTTCAAACTACCGGGAGATGGTTACATATTATCTTCTTCTAATATAGAGAAATTCACTAGATCATTATAAAATAAAGTTTCATGCAATTGTGCAGTATTGAACTCAGATGTGTAATCTCTATTTTTTTTTTATATTAAACAAACCTACCAAAAAAGAAAGTATTGTTAAGGGGAATACAACTCATAGTAAATTGTGTCCCAGAATAGGTTGCGTGACATCCAAAAAATAGCGCGTGATTTAACGATGGATCTTTTATTCATCTAATTAATAAATCGTAATCAATTATACCATTTAAAAGAAAATTAAGCATTTAACTGAAAAAACTACATTGTTGCCAAAACTGATAACCATGTAAATATTAATGCTAATGCACTGATTTTCTATTAATAAATGTGTTTTACTCCTACATTTAAATCTCAACTGATATTCTTTAAGACGAACAATTCTTGAATCAAAGAAACTGTACTCCTCATATTATGATTGATTTTTATATTGGATTGATTAAATCTTGGATTAAAGCATTTAAAGCATTGTAATGCTTTAAATAATGGTAAAGTTGGATGATGAGGGAGATCTTTTCACATATTTCCCTAAAGCGTCCTTAATACAATTTTTTTTAACATTTAAAAACTTTTAATATAGCAGAACCTTTATCACGTGTTACGTATAAATAAAACTGATCGAACAATACATGAAAGTTAAAAATAAGGTATATGAGGGTCACTACATATTTTCTTTGATATGGTTTCGTCAAACTTATATTTAATAGGGTCGAAATTCATTATATATATATTTTTTTCTTGCGGTGCAAGCTAAACGTTACTGTTTCTTTTTCTCTTTAAACTCTAACTTATTTTACGGGATTGGCTGAAGTTTTTGAAGAAGTTGTGAAGATGTGATAATAATTGTGCATAAGATGAATTCAGATAATTGTTTGCCAATGTTTTTAAAATGGTTTCTTGTCCTGATGAATTTAGTTGGACAACTGTAACCTAACGATAATCGATAATCTGAAGATACCATGGCCTGTTTTGGTATAGTTTTTTTTTCTTGCGGTGCAAACTCGACGTTACTTTTTCCTTTTCTCTTTAAACTCTAACTTACTTTACGGGATTGGCTGAAGTTTTGAAGAAGTTGTGATGATGTGATAAAAATCGTGCATAAGATGAATTAGATAATTGTTCTGCCAATGTTTTTAAAAATGGTTTCAAAAAAATTTCGTCCTGATGGTTTTAAACAATCTTAAGATTGTTTAGTTGGACAAAACTGTAACATAACGATAATCGATAATCTGAAGATACCAGGAAATACAAAACAATAATACCAAAATTTTAACATACCCCTGAATAATGGTACGTTTCGAGAAACGAATTGTCCAAATTTATCAAAACCGGTTCGTAATACCCGGTTTCTAATCATCTGATCTATAAATAGTTCGTCGTACACGCTTAGATTTTCACCACATTTCTTTTTAAAGAAACTTTAAAAGATAAAATTTGATAATAAATTATGTAACATCAAATAATTTCGGGGATCGTAGTTTCGATCCGATTAAAATGGTTGGATAATGGTTTACATTAAATCAATTTCTGGGTATAATATAATTTGATTTTCAACCTCGTTTATTTATATTTTCAATAATATAGTTGCAATTTTGATAATCGTTACAACCTCAATTATGGTTGCAATTTCTTCGATTATAGTTGCAACATAATATAGTTGCAACTTTGATTAATTTAATTTCAAGCAAACTAACCAAACTCCAACTTAAGACACAAGATAATTTATGAAATAATTTATAATAAACAAAAATTATAATACAAAAGATTATTGAAGGAATTATAGTAACTTCAAATTGTGTCTAGCGACGCAATTTTTTATTATTATTTGGATCGACTATAAAAGAAAAATTTTCCAGTATAAAAAAAAATAATATCTAATATGCCTATTATTCTATAGAACAATTTCAAGTAAGCTTCGCCAAAAGTGAAAAGAATACTTCCTTCACCCAGGATAAGCCGAGGTGCCTATAGAATATTCTATGGTTAAACCTTGTTGAGTGTGTGTTCTATATTGTTGAGTGCCCAACTATCGAAATCTACTAATGACCAATGTTTAGGTTTTTTTTGAAAGGCAGAATACTTATATCCGTTTTATCAATACTTGACAAATCAGTAAAAAGTCTAACTTTCATAATAAAACGTCTGGAACATGATCAGAAAGTCGCGTTTGACGCGTTTTACTAATCATCTGTTAGTCGCGTTTTGCTGATACGGAGTTTATGAGGCTCGGGTTAAGTGTCTCAGCCAACTGCACCTATTATCGTCTCAAATACTGGGATGCTCTTCAGAATGGAATCCAAATAGTATCGGTAAAAGCATGGTCATGTATATATATATAATTAACGATTACTGAAATGTTCATGTGATATGTTTCGCAGTAGGGTGTGATAGCTTTTGAATATCGAAGTTTAAGGGAAATTGTTTATACATAATTGGCGCAGTTGATTTTATCGATAAACATTTATTTAAAAGTCTTAATTCAGTCTTATTTACTAGAATTTCTCAAAATACAAAAGAAAAAAAGAGATCAAATTTTAATTTCAGGAAATTGGTAATTTATAATGAAATTGTCAATTCAAATGTTAAATTGCAAATTGCAAATTGAAAAATAAAAATACTTATAGAACAGATCCTTAAAAAGACGATCGTATAAATCTTATAAACCTATTCATAAATCTTCCTTCTGATAATGATCTCCAACAGTATTTTTCTTCATACCTGAATACATTAGTTAAACTACGCTCCGCTCCATCTTTTATATTTTTTAATGTATGACCGTTTATTGGTAGAGTATACAATTGTTCTTCGAGATTGGATATATCTTCTGGAGAGACTGGAGGTACCGAAGGATCGTTATTCTCAATTGCTTTATTTATAGCTTCTATTTTTTCCATGTATTCTTTTTTTCGATTCCTTTGAGGATTTCGTCATCGTAATTATCAGGGTCAACAAACTTCTTAATTTTTTCTTGTTCAATGAAATGATCAAGGTAGTCCGCATATGCATTATTGAAAATGGCTATTGCGCTCTGCCTTAAAAATTGTGCAAATTGGACGTTGATATCGGTTATTATCTGCTGCTCATTTTTTAGCTGATCAATTCTTTTTTGTTTGTCTTCTATAATTGCTTTCTTTTTCTCTTGAAATGATTTAGTTTCCTTGATCTGGTTTTCTATATTTAAGTCAACGATATGTTTGATCACATGCCTGTTCTCGTACGAAATATGCATGTGTTTATCCCATATGCAACCACATTTTTTACAAATTCCGTCTCTCATGGCATTACATTTTTGCAAGGCTGAATTATTTACCACATTACATTCAACATTGTCTAAATAACAGCGTGTATGACAGTGTGTTTTGTAATTTTTTTTTTTTAAAGAATTATTCTCTCCAATAGTCAAGACTTCAACACAACATTTACTGGTACACACAGTCCTGGGATATCCCAATTGCACTGGTTCGAGGTCTAACTGTGGGATGTATAACCTGTCTTCAAGCTGCTCTATGGATTGACTGAAATTTTCGATATCATTTTGCTGTTCTCTGATTAGACTAATGTTTACTTGGATGAGTTGTCCTATTTCCGCAAGAGGTTTGGAAAGTACTATTACTATCTTTCTAGCATGATTTAACGATAAAGTATCTTTTATTTTGTGAGGCTTACTCGATGCAAGATACGTGAAGAGTTTAAAAGATTCATCCACTGATCTTTTCCAACTTTCTGCAAAACTTTTTTCATCTTCTTCTGTAAATATTATCCCCCCCTTGATCGCTGCTAGAAACCTAAACGATTCATTGTCAAAGCAGTACATTGTATCTTTGTTGGTTTTTATTTCGACACCAGATCTTTCCTTGAGCTCATTTAGTTGTGATTTTAGTGCTGGTAACGTATCTCCTGGACGATAGAAAGTTCCTCTAGCATTGGTAAAGCAGAAGACAATGTTATCCTTTGCGTTCTTGTGAATATGTGATAACAACTCTTGTATGCAAAATTTAAATATTACATTCAATCGTGATTGGTTGGGCTTAAGAAGAATGCAAATTCCATTAAGGTATTTGTGATGGCCAAGATATTTTAAAATGTTTTCAAAATTTTTCTTGTCTTGATCTATTCCTCTTGTGTCTCCTATTCCTGGACTATCGATCAATCTTATGTAAACGTTGTTATCGGCTTGAAATAAATAACTTTTACATCCTTGAGTGGCTGACATTCCTACGTGATCCAGTTGCTCGTTTGAATCATCTTCACCAATTTTTATTGTTTTCGTCTCAAAGTCATCATCCATAATTGAGAATTTTGATGTGATCAGAACTTCCAGTTCCCCATTTTTTGCGTCTTCTAATGTATCAAATTTGAGATAATTCACGAAGGCATTTATAAATGTAGATTTTCCTACACCGGTCTCACCAAGCAGTAATATGTTTATTTCTTTCTTTTTTATTCCCATGTTAGAAAATACGAAGTTTCAATTTAATATTAATTCTAACCATCAAGAATGATTAAAAATATAAATCATAAAAAATCTGTTAGTTATTGAGGTAATTAAAATATGTTTCTTATTGGTTAACCATTTTCTCATTGTCTATTATCAATTGTTGTTGTAGGTTACATTCTATTCTGTGTTCAATTTTTTTTAAGCGATCTTCTCTGATTTTCAACTTTTTCGATCGTTCCCGTTTTTTGTTTTTTATCTTATAATCAGTTAATATATACGCAGGATTATGTTATAATGTCGATATTACAGTAAATAGTAATGAATACATGTTTTAAAAAAAATTTTTTTTTTTAATTAGAATTCTAAAGTTGAGTATCATAATTTTTATTTTGTCTACTTTGATTATTTTGGCTATTTTAGTTATTATAAAATATTTTTCTATTTTGATTATTTGACTAATTTAATTATTTAACTACTTATTATTTATTTTTTGGCTATTAGACTAATTTAGTTATTTTAATATTTAAACTATTTGGTTTATATATGAAACAAAAATCAATCAATTTCAGATATTAGAAAAGTTGAAATAGGTCAAAATATTAAAAGGTTTAAAGTCAAAAGAGTTGATTTGATATTATGTCATATAATTTTTATATATATATAATATTAAAAATAAAATAAACTTGATCTCAACCAATTTCTCATAAAATAACTACTATTCGAATCATTAGACTATTTCTTTTCTCAAAAAATTAAAAACTTTAAAACAATTATTTGTTTACTAAATGAACTTAATATAAATTATAAATAAAAGGCTTTATTAATTTAAAATTATAAACTTAAATATTTTAATGAAAATTTTGTTAAACATACATATAAATTTTCCCTTTTATTATTCCTTCATTACCAAGAAAAACATGGTTATTTTGAATTGTCAAATATAAAACTTTAAACAGAATGAGTCAGATTAGGTAATTGATTTGACTAACCTAATAAAATCAGATTAGATAAACATAAAATTGATCAGAATTAAATATAAATCTATCTGACTTAATTTAACCTGTATATTATATGATTTCAGATCAAATTAGATTTATACTTAAAGATGTATTAGCTTAAAATAAGTCAATTTGAGTCAATTCTAAAACTGATTTTAAATTTAACAGATTCTAAATTTTCTGAGTTTAGGATAATATGACAAAAATAAAGGTTCTGAAACAAAATTTAAAATTAGCATATAAAAAAATATTCAATCATATTTTAGAATCAGTTATAAATATATAAAATAAATTAACATACAGGAAGGCATTCAATCATATTCTAGAATTAGTTATAAATATATGATTATGAGTATTAATTTTTAAACTTCTAATTGACACCTAATATTAATTATTTTTTGATATTAAATTTGGTATGAAATTACTTCATTAAATACTAAAAATGATATTATATTATATAGCCTTTTTAATCTGATTTGAATCACTTTTAGTATATCAAAAAATTATGCTATATTAATTATCTTAGAAAAGCATTAAGAGCATAAAGAATATAAAGTATCTGAAATACTTGAACTGTAACTCTATAAGTTAAATATGCATATAAATTTTTATGATATTTTAGAATTAATTTTAAAGATAATTTATAAGTGTTAGCAATATCAGAAAAATTTAAATTTACATCTATGCTTGCTATAAGTGTAAATTTTTTGTATATGATCTAAAAAGTTTAAAAGTTATAAAACTTATTCTAGTATATTAATATTTTTTTGATATATAGGAATCAATTTTAAAACTATTTTTTTTACATAAATGTTAGAACAAATTTTCATCTTAAGTATAAAAAAATTCAAGTTATGTATAATTTTTTATATATAAATAAGTAAATCTAAAAACTATAGACCAAGCTTTAGTATACCAATAATTTTTTAATATATAGTAAGGTTGCTTGTCTAAATTCATTTTGAATTTGACAAAATGGTTAAACTTTTAGTTTCACTAAAGTTTTACTAAGTGTTTGATATAGTTTCATCATTTTTATAAGCTTTGATATAGTTTTATCTTTTTTCAAATTTCGCAGATTTTTTAATAAGGTTTTAATATAATTTAACTAAGTTTTACTTTTACCATTTAAACGTCTGTCTAAACTTTTGATTTCGTCTAATAACCTTAATATAGTAATTAATTCTAAAATAAATTCATATTTATAAACTTTAGAACAAAAATAATCAAGTAATAAAAAATGTGTTTGGTTTTATGTAAATTTTTTTTATCATAAATATATTTTTTAATTTATAATCAAGTAAATAAATAAGCTTTAAAACATGTTTTAGTATACAAATTAATTTCGATATAAAGAAAGCATTTTTAAGATCACTTTATAATATTTTTTTTTGTTATAAATATAAAAAAGCTTTTTTTTATATTTATTCAAAAAAAAACCTATTAGATAAACTAACAAATTAAAAAAAAGAAATAGGTCATCTTCACACATTGAAAGATAAGAGAAGTAAATTAGATGTAAATTTATTCAGATTAGATGTAAAAATCTAATCTAAAAAATTTTTATAAAGTTAAAGCTTTTGAGCCTAATTCTAAAGCCTATTAATATACTAGGTTACATAATATCCACTAGCAGATTTGCTATAAAGTCATTCAGAGCTAGTTAAAGTATCATAAATTCTATAAGAAAGATACTTTCTAGCATTTTAAAATTCATGACATCTTTCTAATTGATATTAGATATATCTACAAATATCACCAGTTCAAAATAAATAATTGTAAGAATATTCACTAAGTATAGTAATAATAAATATTTTATTTTATTTTAAACAAAAGTTTTTGTTATATTAATATAAATAACAGAAATTATATACTTAATCATAAGTACAGTGAGACCTCTCTAAATACACCCCCCTTGGGACCATAGTGAAAATTTGAAAAAATGTGCATTTAAGGAGGGTGTGCATTTAAAGAGAGAAATTTATATGATCTTTATATACTTAGGACTGTGTGAAATGTGCATTTATAGAAAAAAAATATATGCGTGCATTTAGGAAGAATGCATTTAGAGAGGTCTCATTGTATACAAATTTAATTAACAGAAATAAAACTCACTTTCTAGAAAGTTGAAAAGGCTTTAATAAATATAATCAAAGTAGGTATTTATTATAAAAGACCAAAAAATAGCAAATTTATGTAAAATTATAAAGAAAGAGTTAAAAAATTACATCAGATAAAAAATCCTGATAAATACATTATCCTTGAAAAAGTATCTGGTTAATTGAAAAAATAATCAAAAAAAAATATTTATTTAAATTTTAAATATAAAATTTTAAAATAAATTAAATAATTAATATTTTGTTAGCTACCTTTAGTTAATAATATATGCTTTGATTCTTATAGCATACTTTTTATTAATTTAATAAAAATTTCAGAGTGAATTTTTCTTCATTTTTCTTGTAAAATTTTCTCAAATTTTTAAAGATTTTTCAAATTTATGGTACATTGTAACAGGGTAAATTTTGGTTAAAATTTGTTTACAAATCTGATATCAATTAAATGTTTTAGTTGATTATTTAGTAGATTATTTTTGTCAATTAAATGTTCTTGTTTACTATCTCACTGATTCTGATGTCAACTTTATATTCTTTGATAACCAGTGTAAAATATTGTAGATCCAGATGTTAATTTATTTCTAGTGTAATGCCAACTGATCATCTTTGCTAATCAATTTTGTCAACTTTATTTCTAGACAATGTCATTTTATTTTTATAGCTATATTTAGTTTAGTTCATTTTTATAATTATCAAACATGAATAAATGTTACTATATTTTTATTAAATCTTGATACCTTCGGCTAAAGAACTTATTTTTATTATAATATTAATAAAGAGTATAATTAACTAAGTAAAGCTTATTCTTAGCAACCCTATAACCTGTGTATAAATTATTATTATTTATTAACTTTGCATAATATTGTATTGATTTATTATATTGATTTAAAGTATAGTTATTGAAATGTAATCTCTGAAATATCTAGAAGTTACTCATATTTAATTAAGAATAATCTTTGATGTTTACTATGAATCCTCATTGTGATTTTCTAAGTTTAGTCTTAACATTACTTATTTTATGATTTTAATTTGAGTTACAAATCAGACATAATAATATTTGCAATGCCTTCTTTTAAGTTTATTTTACAAATACTCAATTGGATTAAGATCTGAAGATTGAGAAGACTAAGCATAAAGTACTTTAACTTATTTTTGAATAATCAAATTTTTAATATTCTTTACAATATGAACTGAAGCATTATCATTAAATGTATATGATTATTTATGATGTTTAGATCGAATAAATAGCAATAAAATTTTTTTCTAAAATATTGCTGTAATTTAATCTATTCATTTTTTCCTCAACTTTTACCAATAATCTAAACTCTTTTTCTGAAAAAACATTTCCATATCATAATACAATCACCACCATGTTTAACTATAGAAGTCAATTTTTAATATCATATCAGAAAACATTTTTCATCAAACACAATCAGATCTATTATTTCAAAAAAGGTAAAATAGAATTTGATACAGAAATTTTAATGAAAATATTATAAATACATAAGATTACATAATTAATTTAAATTAATTCATTACTCTAAATCACAGTTTTTCACTTTTAAATTAATTAATTTTAGTGTTTTATACATTAATTTAATCAATTTTCACATAAAAAGTAGTTTTGATATGGTAATACTTAAATGAATTTTCATTTAATATAGAGATTTATGAATAATATCTTATAAAACTTTTTGATCTTTTAAATTTTGAAAATTATTATGAATTTTAATAAGAAAAAATCAATTATTTTTTTTACAATTCTTTTTAGTATAAAATGATCATTATTATTTATATAAAGTAATCTTCCAGCTCTTTTGACACTTGAATTATTATTAGTATCAAAATATCAGATAATTGTATCTGTAATAATATTTTTTAGAATTTTAAAATATGAGCA